GTTAGGGCGGCTAGGATCTGGAACCAGCTTCCAAGGGAAGTGGTGCTGGCTCCTACCCTGGGGATCTTTAAGAAGAGGCTTGATGCCTACCTGGCTGGACTCATTTGAGCCCAGTTTTTAATCCTGCTCAGGCAGGGGATTGGACTTGAAGATCTACAAGGTCCCTTATGACCCGACTTCTATGATTCTGTGATTCTGTACTTCATCATCACCCTGCCTGACCTCTTCATGGCTTTTAATGCAGTTAAAGGTAACCTCCTGTTTGACATTCTGTACTTCATGTTGGTTTACACAGCATAACTTGTGAAGTCTCAATGGACCACAGCTAAAGCTGGTAACCCTACCTATCATAGGTGTGACTAATTGTAGCAGTTTAAAATAAATGATGATTATATTGTTATGGCGAGGGTTAAAATCTCTTTAAGCCTGGGTTATAACTACTGGCCTTCACTTTTGTGTGTTGTAGGACAATTAAAGTGACTTTCTAAAACCAAACAGCAGCATCTACCCCCAAGAAAGGCACAAGTGGGTGTACACGTTTGATTAGCCATTCTTTGTATGACTGCTTCTGTGAAAAGAAAGGGCAGAAAGAACAAAGAAAGGGAAAGAGAAAAGCAGAAAACACTGGAGAAGTAGAGGCAGAAAAACCAAGGACATGGTGAGAACAAACAAGGAAACAATGCCCCCAAGGAAAGGTGAAGAAGAAAATGTTAGGGATACATGTCAGCTGGAAAAAGAGCGTGCAACACCAAGCAAAAATCCTGTCTCTTTTTGTTTGATTCCTGCTGTGTTCAGGAATGGAAGTCTCAGTACATCCTTTCTAAAGAAGCAGGAAAGCACTGGAGAAACATCTGACACTATTGTACATTTCTCTGTCTTTCTGACCAACCTGTAATCCCCTGAATTTCAGCTAACCATGATGCAGGAAGTCTAAAACATTTGTATTTTCTCAGTGACAACTTTACTGGAAAAAATATAATGTGCCCTTTTTTCTACACTGGTACATTTCTTTCCACTATAACAGGTCTTAGACTATTGTAATGTTCACTTACTTATGCAGGTGCGTCCATCGGCATGGAGCCTGTATCCCATAGTGCATTCACAAAAGAAGGAGCCCTGAATGTTAACGCAGCTCTGTTGGCAGCCTCCATTCACTATCACACATTCATCAACATCTAGAGAAGGAAGATAGATGACTGAGATTACAATGTCAACCTCAGAGAAGCTGTATACTGTAACCAGGTATAGATATTACACTCTTACCAGCATAAGTAATTGGAAACTGGTCCACATTTGTAACAGAACAGAAGTTTGGCACAAAACTGGTCTATAGCCAGAACAGAACAGAAGTATAGTGCACACAAAGTGGTTTAAAATTGGTAGAACCCAGTCTAAGATTTGCCCCCTTTACCAAAGTAATTTTGTTCAATACCAATCTAAACAACGCTGCTTACAGAAAATGGCGTAACTTAGACTGATTCTGCCTCAGGCTTTTTGAATGTCTGTACCTAGCCTATTTGTCATGGACAGTATAGATCATGTACATAATGTAATCCTTACCCTATGTTGCTGCTAATCTTTACTACTTTGATCTTGTCGGCTTCTGTGTTGTAAACAAACCAGAGAGGATGGAAATTTTACTGTGTTCATTACAGTTCCATCAGACATGAGAGCAAGCATTGCCCAGCCACTTTAGACTTCTTAAGCACTTGATAATTAAACAGATCTGTGATACAGATGCTTTCTTGGGGACAGGGAAAAAAAGTTAGGAGAGACTTACCGCAACCTAACACATCTGAGCTCACATTCACCACTGGATAAACATCTGGTATTTGTCCAACTCTGGCATATGAAGATTTTCTATTGTGTCAGGCCCTAAAATCTGCTAACTGGTGGCCCTGTGGGTACTGAGGAACAGGACTGACATGGGAGGGAAAAAATGATGTGAGAAAACATAGTTAGGCTTTGACTATCTCAGCTAAGTATACTACTTCCAATGTTTTTTTCCTAATTGGAGACTGCTGAAATAAATATAAAATTCAGCATTAAACTAAAGCAGGAGCACGCTCTTCCTGCTCATCTTCTGGGACTCCTCGATATGTAACAGATGTTCTTTGTGCTCCTTTTTACTACTTTCCATTCTCAAGTGGCCTCTCCAAGAGTCTCTGATATCCAACACAAAGCATGAAATTAGCATGAAGCAGGGAACCGTCTACCAACTCCTACATGTTTCCATCAAAACGGGTTTAGCTTAAACGGCAACAGATTCTCATATTGATGTCACTGCTCTCAACATCATCACAGTCCATTGGGAGGCAGATGAATTTTTTTGCTGTTGAATTTCCCTTCCCCACCCCCTTCATTGACTTCAAGAGACTCTGGCTCAGGACTTGGACTTGCGTTCACTTGGACTACCCAGCTTCCCTATCCCCCACACATGCAAAGTTGGTGTGCGGGAGTGGCACGGGTTTCAAGCTAATTAAGATGCAACCCACAGAGAGAAACAAAACTTTAACTGTTACTGGAGGACTGGAAGCTGGAGTTCAATGTGGAGCACAAAGGATCACCGAAATGAGAGCACAGTGAAATATGTTTTGTCATTTGGTCTTGAAGAAAGAAGTGCCTGGATATATTTGCACTGCTAGATATCTGCTTTGTATTTAGCTTTTATGATTTACATTTTAAATACTTTCATGTTTATTTAATAAAAAAAATCTAACAACATGAAATGGAAAAAGTTTTAGAGATGCCTTGGAAACACAGAACTTCCCAAGTTTCTCCTGATCCCAGTGAAATGTATTTATAAGGTTCAGTGCTAATAGTTTACATATGAAATTCATTCATCTAAACTAAAGCATTGACTAGTTTTTAAATTCAGACCACTTGCTTACATGCATGACTTTTTCACTTTCCCCAATACACTGTTTTATTAGACTTCAGATCATATATAATGTGCTTCTGCTCAGAGACATCTGGACTCTTTTCCTTATTAGCAGAAGTTGTTTGAAACATAAACCATGAACAGTGCCTGCTATCCATCACCTTGTGTATTACACAATGATTTGTTAAGAATTCTTTCATGTAAAGACTTGGGCTTCTTCTTCAATGATGATAACAAAACATCATGACAATTAGACAATCCTATTCTAAAGGGAAAAAAATCTTGAGAAACTGTAAAATCATTGTGCCATACTTAGAAGCTACTGTTACAAGGATAGTCTTATCAGCCCAATAAACCACATTCCAGTTACTGTTAAAAAGTAGCAGGAAGAAATAAAACTCCAGAAAACAGCTGCCAGAAACATTTTTGTAAACTATGCTGAAGACCTAACAAGAAAATAAAAAGGTTTAAGGAAAATAAAATTAGGAGGCGCCTGAACTGCAAGACTTACATTTTTGTTATATTATATTATAGCAGTGTTTTTCTTAATGGTGAATTCTCAGGTAAGCAACGGAAAAACATTGTTTCTATAGGACACAAAAGTTTCTGGGAATTCTCTGCCTATTTAAAATGGGATTAAATAAAAGAAAGTAAATATACAAGGACCAAGATTTTAAAAAATGAGAAACAATGGTTAGACAACTATCTACTTAGGTACATGGTTTGATTCACCAAATGGCTCTGCACTTTTCATATCAGAATAACTTTAGCAATCCTTTCAGCTGGGTCCCTACTTATCTACATACATCCTAACACTCTCACCCATTAACTTCTCTTTTATGATGCTTCAGTATTTCTAGAACTGCCTGCTCACCTGCTATGGGGGCTGCTGGGTCCCTTCACAATCAGGCAATCTATTTGGGTGCTAAAAGAAGCATTTAGGAACTTAATTTTAGGTGTCTTTTGTTTTAAAATCTTAAGTCAAAGTCTTTTGTGTTTAATAAGCAAGTTAATTGACAAAAATATTTCAAAAGTACCTTTGCCACCAGCAAGTTTAGAAGCGTAAATCTATTCAGGGACAAACAAAAGATTGGTTCTCAGGTGCTCTGTGTAAGAGCTGTTCTTAACTGCTCCCCCATGTGCCATGTAGCAGGGGAAAATAGGTAAGACCAATGAGTTGGGTATGGGTAATCCCTTTACTCTAAGGCTTTCTCTATAGGACCAATCTTTTACAGAATAAATGTTGACAGATTCCTTTGAGGACTACAGTTACAGCAGGAAAATGTAGGACACAGCAGCTTCTCAGCATCTCTTACATCCAAGGAACAGGGAACACCTTTGTCCCAGGTTACAGAAAAAAAGAAAGTCCTAATTATTTTGTCTGTGAAGCATTCTGAGGAACAGATGGTAACCTAAAAGCTTGGTCTAGGTTTGAAAACTTTGCCTACTATGCTTGTTTTATTTTTATTTTAAACAAAATACAGTTATTCTAGTAAAAGACCTGGCATAGACACATTCATACTACTGTAACAATGTCTCCTCTTGATATAGTTATATAGATAGCTATTTCCTTTTCTGTATGAGAATAACTGCAACAATTTACAGCAGTTTCATACCTTATACCATAAGTAAGTCCACACAAAGTGTGGATACACTCCTTGGGTGGATACACTCCTTATAATAGGGAAGACTGAAGAGCGGTGGCTTCCAGAGTGCTTTAGGTGTGCTAGAGGCACTTCGGCCCAACTTCCTTCATTACAATCTCTTTGCCAGCTTGCATCTATGAGGCCACAGCTCAGTTTTTACTCCTTACTATACTGGGGCTCTATTCACACAAATCTCAGCAAGATTTTCCTTTTAAAATGTAAGGTCTTGTATACTTTTTGTCACAGGCTGACACCAGTGATATGCCCACGCAGAGAATACCAGTTCTTGAATGACATCAAAACTTTTAGTTTACTCTACAAACGAAATCAGTAACTGGGCTCTGTCTTCGTTATCGCTACTTCTATCAAGGCTATACTCAACAGTCCTGGAGCTCTCTATAAGCTTGTGAGAATTGCTGAGTGAGGATTTCAGCAATAATATGCACCCTCTGCTGTGCAGTTATTCTTGAAAGAAGCACTTCTTCAAATTTTGACTTTGTCAGGACTGACCTCTTCACAAGCTAACAACATGCAATTCTTCACAAGGTCATCAGCAGTAAAAGGGCATCCAGATGCTTTGATTTTGCTTGCAAGACAGAGACTTCCTCGTGTATCTGCTTCGGAGTTGGTGACACACAGAAACATGGTTTTGCTCGGCAGCTCACTTGCACTTCTGATCACCATCCTTTCCTCTTCTTTCTCCGTCTGTCAAATTTCCACAAGTGATCGCTGACTCATTTCAGGGTGCCCTTTGATATGAAATTCCTCAAGAGCAGTTCATAAGACAGTTGATTTTTGATCGACCCTCAGTTAAAGAAATACTCATTTGTCCATTCTTTATTATCGTTTCTATGCTTATGACTGATCTTGTGGTTTTTGGGCTGCCTTGTTTGTACTCATTTTTACAATAATAAACAAGATTAAATACACCTAAGAGCATGCTACTGAATCTATGCTTTTAGTATGCACACCATAGGAGCCTGGATGGCACCTGTAGGAACATGCTCAGTCTCACAGTCGCACAGCGTTTGGGGAAAGAAGAGTAATTTTACTCACTATTTTGCTTTTCATATCCTTACTTATTTTGCAGCTCTTGATAAAGCTGATCCAATACAGAATTACAGAGGATCTGGCAGGCCATGTCATGTAGCTCTAATGGATGTTTAAGTGTGACAAGAGCTGTTGTTTCACGAAGTGAACATAACATACATCAAACTACTTTACATTAGTTTTAGGCAGCTTTTCTTCATGAAATGTTTGTTTATTGGCCTTTAAAAAAATATAGAAGCATAAGTGAAACAGGCCGTCTTTCCTGATATTTGTAGGCTGATCTCAAATTTTGCCTCTTTATTGTATTACGCTAATATTAAAAAACAAATATTTTTAGAGCTATTAATGACAGAATGTATACCTGGTGTAACTATCAACACCAGTAAAGTTACATTCATTTATACCAGATCTGAATTTATAAGTACCCATAAGATAATGCCAATCTGCAAGTATCTATTAACAAATCTACATGTTAATGAAAGCAGTTTGGGATTCATACATTTCTATTGATAGACAGAGGTTTCAACAGTAGTTTCTAGATTATATCATTTTGGAATTTGATTGCAGGATTTTTGAAACCACAAAGAGACATAGTTAT